GCGCAGGGGGGGGGAAGGGGGGTCTGAAGCCGGCGGGGCGGCTGGCCCTGCGGCGGCGAGAGGCTCCGACCCGGGGGGACCTGCTCTGCAGCCCAGCGTGGTCATAGAGACCCGTTAGGTGAAGCAGAAAATCCATGGGGTTCCTTGTGTTTCGCTTCCAGATGCCGGTGACCGTGGGCCCGTACGGGCAGTCGCAGCCCAGCTGCTTTGACAGGGTGAAGATGGGGTTCGTGATGGGCTTTGCCGTGGGCATGGCTGCAGGGGCGCTGTTCGGCACCTTCTCCTGCCTCAGGTGGGTGAGGAAACGGCTCCTGTGGGCTGGGACAGAGCCAAGGCCGGGGGGAAGGGCTGTGGGGTCGGGAAGGCAGGCTCGGGCCTGTGTCAGCACATTGGGGAGCTTGGCCAGCAGCTCAGAATTGTCCCCAGCTGCAGAGCCTGGTGACAGGACATGGCCTCGGGTCACTGCCCTGCCCTTTTCCTGCTGCTCCTGAGGGAGGCTGTGTTGGGCAGCTGTGTGAGTTCAGCTCCAGGAGGAGCTGGGTGCATCGTGCAATGGACGTGCAGCTCTGACGCTTCCCAAGGGGCTCAGCCAGCTCTGGGTGTCCCATCCTCCTGCACAGACCCTGACCCCCAACTGCAGGAGCTGTGGCTGGCACTGGGACAATCCCATTGTGAATCAGAGGGACACCATCCCCCTTTCCCCAGCACAGAAACACCACTGGCTGCCCCAGGCTGGCTCTGGTGCTGCTCCCTGGCTGCTTTGGGCACATCATCCATCAGAAGGAATTCCTGAAACCAGCTGTTGCATTCCTTGCAGAACTCTTTCTGCTTGAGTGTTCAGTCTGTGATTATCCATGGGCAAGGATTTGATGGTGAGGCTGGAAGGAGGAAAAGGCTCAAAGTCTCATCAAGTGTTCATGCCTCTCATATGCTGGGGAGTGTTTGTGCATGGGACAGGGCTGGCAAAAAACACAGACTGAGGGTACTTGGGAGCAGTAATCCCAGCAGTTTTGGAGTACTGGAATGATACCACTCACTGTTGCTTCTGCTGTACCATTTTTAAGGGAAAATCTCCATGTTTTAAAAACAAAGTGTACAAAATTCCTTAGACCCTGCAGTGCTGAAAGGCCAACACTGCAGGAGGTCACTGAGCAACAGTTCTTTCAGTTTGACCTCAGGGAGCTGGAGAACAGAAATGTCCCTGGACACTCCTGGGCCTTCCTAGTTTTTCTCCTATTAAAAATTCCATGTCAGTAGTAAACAGGAAGTTAATTTACAACATGGTGGTATTAAAAATCCTGCCCCAGCTGGCAGACCTTTTGTATTCTCTGGGAAGTCCAATACTTGGATGTGCTTCCCTCCCTACCCCCCCAAAATTCAGGGTATCTGGGGCACTGGCAGGTCAAGCTGTGTCTGCTGGTGGCCTGGCAGGAGGGTGCAGTGTGGGCTGTTGGCTGTTCCAAAGGAAACGGCTCCATGGGAAGTTGCAGAGCTCCATGGGAAGTTGCAGAGCTCCAGCACAGGGCACAGCAGCCCCGTCCCCCTGCCCAGGAAATCGACTGGAGCCTGAAGAGGCAGCGTTAGGTGGGGGTGCTTGGGCAGCCCCAGCTCCTGGGTTCAGCTGTTCCCTGCTGTCTATTGCCTGCCAGGCATCAGCTTTTATCTAATTCCTGTTCCTCTTTCCCCGTTTCCCTCAGGATTGGCATGAGAGGACGAGAGCTGATGGGTGGAGTCGGCAAAACGATGATGCAGAGCGGAGGGACGTTTGGGACATTCATGGCTATTGGGATGGGAATCCGCTGCTAACCTGGAGCTTGGGCTTCCTGCCCATCCAGCCATTCCTCCTCTGTACCATAATAAAATCTTTAGACACCTGGAAGTGAGAGCTCTGCCTGAAGCAGCGAAGCTCCATCCTCGCTCTCCAGGTTGTAAACATGCTTTTTACCAAATTTCTAGTTTCCTCTCATCTCTTACCCCCGTGACAATGAGAATTAATAACCCTTTGTACTGCATTAAAGTTCCTCTTTCCCAGGTCTATGCACAGAGCACACGTTTTTCCCTCTGCTCCTTGCACAGCTCCCAGTCCTGTTGTGTGACTGGAGCTGCTCCAGCCTTCCTGCATCCAGGGGAGTTGCTCAGGGGCTAATTCAGACCAACTGTCCAACATCTCTTGCAGAAGTAGGTGGGTTGAAGCTGACCCTGTTTCTGGTTCCTGATGCTAAGGGGCAAATGCCCTCATGGAGAGCAAGGGACCCAGGAGGACCTGGGGAAGTTCTTCTGCAACCAAGGGCAGCTCAGGCACTTTCTTCCAGCCTGGCAGTGTGTGGGTGCAGGAGCAGCCAGGGAGCAGCACAGGGACAGCTGTGCTGCCAGAGCTGGAAATTGTGGAGTGCTGGAAAATGGAAAATGCTCCTGTCACAGGACAGAAAAAGGTGTTTTGTGAGGAGTCACGAGAGGAATCATAGAATCCTAGGGGTTGGAAGGGACCTCGAAAGATCATCTAGTCCAACCACCCAGGGATGTGGGATATGTGCTGTCCTGGCCAGGCCATTCTTCAGGGATGCTCCAGCACAGGCTCCCCCAAGCCCTGCCCCTCGGCGGGGCGGGCTCTGCTGTGCCGGGGCAGGGAGGGGTGGCAGCTGCCTCCAGCCATGGGAACTTGTAGGAGCTTTTTTCCATTCCTTCGGGAAGGGCCTTCGGCGTAAGAGCAGCACAGCAAGAAACAGCCTTTCCTTACAGTCTGCCTGGAGGGGGCTACAAGGTGCTTCCCAGGGAGAGCTGGGGATCCTTCCCTGCCATTCCCAGCCTGGGCGCTGCCGACAGCCCAACTCGGGAGTGTTTGGTTTGGTGTTGCAACCTCCCCTTACTTGCCTTTTGAAACGAGGCTTCTCTTTGCTCCTCCTGGATTTGAGGACAGGTTTGCCGCAGCAGGTCCCAAACCAGCACCTGGCACAGTCTTTGCCCAAGGGCCGTTTTCCATATATTTAAGGGAGAAATACAGAAAATACAGATCTGCACTGCGCACGTGCCCTCTGCTGGCACGAGGCTCTGCAACCTCAGAGAAGCTGCCATGACAGGGCAGGGACAGCAGGGCAGCTGCTCGGGAACAGCTCTGGTTTTTCTCGCTAGAAGAATAATGCCAAGCAAAACCAGAGCAGCCCAGCTTGGCTTTCTTCAGCCAAGTCACCTGCTCCCAACACTCTGGCTCCCCCTATTTGTCCCTCCAGTTGCCTGGTCCCTTTCCTCCCACAGCTCCCTCCTGGATTGCTGCCCAAGTCTCGCCACACAGCAGCTCAGCTGCCTCCACTTTGGCAGCACCCAAGGCCAGCACAAGGTCACTACCACCTTGTCCCAAGCACTGGAGGATCTCTGCCCAGCCCCTTCACCCTCCTGCACAGCTTTCATCAGCCCCCGAATCCCAACGGCAGGGAAAGGGCACCAGGACAATCCCCACAGGCTGCCCTACAGGCACCAGGCTCAAAGCCAACACAGATCACTCCTGAAATCCCTGCATTTCACAGCAGGATGGGAGCAGAGGTGGGCAGGGGGGTTACCCTGGGAACAATCCAGAGCAGGCCTGAGAAAGGGGGAGAGCTGTGCACCACCCAGCCACCTCCAGGCCCTCAGTGCACAGAGCATTCACACCAGCAGGAACCAGCTCCTGCCTGTTCTCCTGGAGCAGTGGAATTCCCAACTGCCACCACTTCCAAGCACCACTCACTCACCTCCAGCCTTCAGCTCCAGTTGCAGCAGGAGAGCAGAGAAATGAAGCTTCATGAAGGCCTTTTTAAGAGAATTTTATTTGAGTGGTTCTTACAAAGATTGTTGCAATATGAAAGTCTTTGTTTGATAGAAATAACAAGCTGTCTTGTCAAACACACTGAAGTAACCCAAAAATATATTTCAGAGCTCACAGAGCTTAAAAAGAGCAAAGATTATATGCAACCAGAACAAAACATGTTTCTGTATTTCCTACAGATTTTCAGACTTGGCTGAAATCCTTCAAATGTGCCCCACTGCAGACAGAGAAACTCATCTGGAAATGCAGAGATGGTTTTGTTTGGAAACTTAGACACACCTCACACAGTATTTACAAAGAAACTTTTACAGATACATTAATCAAAAGATACCATCAAGAAATAAAACCCTTCAATCCTTCTATTCTTACCAAATATTCAGCACAAAGCAAGCTGAGTGGCTGCCTGGACTCAGCTTTCAGCAGCTTGTTGAATTTTCCATTTATACAAAACACTAAGTAAGTCCCTTCATCGAGTCTATCTCCGATATTAACCTTAAGCAGATCACCTACATTTAGTGAAATGTAAAATGCAATTGCTGCATTAAAAGAAAGGCTTGTGAAACATTAAAAATGTCATCATGTCCCATCTGCCTTTTACAAATAACTTGTTTTCTAAGAGCTACTTCTCAGTTCCTACAGATCACCTTAGTAAATGTACAAGAATTACAAGGCAGAACAAGAAGTCAACAGCTTTGTATACAGTGGAAATGCTAGTTAAGGAGAATGAACACACTGCATTTCTGCTTACTTCATTTTATTTTTAAAGGTAGCAGGAAGTGTACACAAAATGACAGTAAATCCTTTCCTTTAGTTTTATCTAAATAAAAGATAACTCAATCTTCCTCCAAAAAATAACTATGTACAAAACTGACTAAATCCATCTTCATCGTCGAACAGGAACCAGTAGTTGGGTTGCAGTCATGGAATCTGGGAAAAGGCTATGGTATGTTGGAAGAGGTACATACGCTGCTGTGATCATTTTACCTGGGCAGAAGAGTGAAAAAACAAGTTATTTAAAAATAATAATTAAAAAAAAAAATAATCACTTTTTCTGTAATGAATACATGCAGGTCTCTACATGAAGTCCACTCACCTGCAAACCACCTCCCATGCAACGCGTTGACGGCCGCGATGGCAGCGGCGATCGACGGACACTTGACGTACACGTTGCCCTGCAGGACAGAAGTTTTGGTTCTTTAGTGGCTGGAGGAGCCTCGGGCACCTTCCAAGTCACTTTCCTGACCTTGCTGGGGCAAACCCACCCTGCTCTGCTCCTGCTGGCACTGAGTCCTGTGCAGAGGCAGCAGTGGAACACAGAGCACTGGTCCATTTTGCTGCCCTGCATGCCCTGCAGTTACCTCAGCATGAACTGCTCAACAGGTTCTGCAGAACAACCCTAATGTGACCTTGACCCAAAATCAACTGCTCACTTGCTCCTAATAACCCTTCAAAGAGAGCATCTAACAGCTCCTCATGACCAATCCCATGGGAAACAAAAAGGCAGGATTTGTCTGGCCACCACTGCTGCAGGCTGGCCAGCAAGTCCTGTCCATCACCACTGGAACCACCAAGGCTTTAGGAGATCTCCAAGTTCACTCTCTGGTTTGCAAGAGATTACACACTGCCCGTGCCCCAGGCAGGAACCACATCTAGCACTCCAAAGAAGACTGGCACTGTCAAAATTGTATGTGAACTTCAGCATCTGTCTTTATTTGAACCAGGACTGAGACAAAGGGGAAACAACTCATCATAGCAGAGCAAGAGCCTGAGATGATCACTACAGCGAGTGACAGACTGACCTTCTGCCAACTCTAGCTGAGGGGCTGATGTTCCAGGCACAGTAACACAACTGGCTCTGTCTCTGCCAGCCCTGCACAGACATGCAGGCTGTTCAGCCCCTGAGGGGACACGGCCACACAGAGCTTTCCCTCCCTCTCAGACAGCCCAGCACAGGCTGGGGCAGCACATGAGAGCACCTGCTCAGGGCTCTGCAACCTCCCCACTCACAGTTCATCCCAGCTTCAGGGCTGAGCACTCACAGCCCTTAGCCTGGCAGGTCTGGCTGTCTTGGAAAGAGCCCTAAAAAGATGAGCCATTAAAACCCGAGATAACCAGAACCTAAGCCTGGCAACACAGTGGAAAAGTTATGTTCCAAGACAGTATTTGAACTACCAGTGTGTATTTTACATCTCTGCTGTGACCAAACAGATTCCATACAACAAACACCTAACTCCTGGTAAAGTAGCTGTGGTTTCTTCACTTAAACCCACTTGCTGATGGGGACCAGATGGGCAGCTCTGTGCTCAGAACCTAAGTGAGGGATGCTGAGGCTGCTGCAGGTTTTGGGAAGTTGGGTGTAGTGGTTCCTCTTGGGTTTCTGGTTTCATTTTTTCCCCTCTGTCAAAGGACAGTGGGTTTTCTCTAAGACAGTAACAGACTGGGGGGAAGGTTTCTGCCTCCCACCAGCCCAGCAGTCCAATGCAACAGTGATCCTGAGGAGTAAGAACTGCCAAGAAAGATCACATGCTGTTTTCTGTCCTAGACTGCAACTCATCTCTAACCTAACATCTCAGTGATCCAGCTGAAAGGCTTTCAGGTGACAAGAGGTCCCTGTAGAAGCAACACAATGATAACAAAGGTTGGTGAGTGCCAAGTGCATGAGGAAGGCAGCACAATCCCATCTAACCAACACTGACTGGGACAGGAATGGCCATTTCAGCCTCACACAACAGGACACTTCCAGGGCTTGATGCTTAGAAATTCATTTACTAGTGAGAGAGTTTGAAAACTGTACTTCAGTTTGAGCTGTGAATTCTACATAAAAGGGGTTCAAGGTGGCAAAACATCTTTACAGACCTTCAAGTTTATGTTCCAAGAGCTGAAATACAGGGGAAGAGACAAACAAGTGTGTAAACAAAGTGAACATGGAAGAAAAATCTATCAGCCTTTTGAAGATGCAGGCTGAGAGTCCCTCCAACAGGCACCACCTTGTAATTAAGTCTGCAGCAGGAGCCCCTTTTCTGCTTCTTCCTGTTCTGAGTCTAGGCCTCCTACTGCCCACAGCAAGAGGGGAACAGCGCCAGTGAACAGAGCTGTCTCCAAGGAGGGGTATAAGGCACACATGTAACCACAACTCTGCACTCCTCTGGAGCAGGCTGTCCTTTGGACTAAGAAGCCCTAGGAGCAAAGGAAGCTGGAAGCCTCTGGCTTTTGGGAAAGGCACAGCTTCAAGGAAAAGTGAAATGTCAGAACTGAAGAGGTGTACTTCTACAGTAACTTGTGTCAGACTCACAAACTCACTGGGGTTGGGAGGGACCTCTAGCGATGATCTAGTCCAACTCCCCCACTAAAGCAGGATGGCCTGGAGCACACTGCACAGGAGTGGGTTTGGGATGTCTCATGGGAAGGAGACCAATCTGTATATGTCTGTGAATCTGGAAGAGCAGACTGCAACAGCAGGAAACTGCCTTCACACATGGCTTAGTTACCCACAATGAACAGGAGGGAACCACCTACATTCTGCAAAAGCTGCAAAGTCGCTTGATATTTCAGTTCAGTTTAAGGATAAAAAAGGTATTTACAATGCTCCCTCTATACACCACAAAGCAACAAAACTCCAAAAAGCTGCTGCTTAGTGTCTCCTTGGAACCAGACCTACCTGAGCTGAGTTTTTGTCTACATAGATGTGGATAACTCCTCCATGTTTGTTACATTCCTCAATCACATCATCTTTAATTTCAGTATCCCAGCCAGCTTCTTCTTCACTGTAGGGGGTGAATGAAGAACAGGACAGACATGGAATTATCATCACTCTGAAAAAATCCACCCTGAAACCCACAAAAAACCCCAAACAACTCTGCAACATTCTGATTCCTTTCCCAGATGTTGAAGTCATCAACAAACTCCAAACAGAAACAAACAAAAAAATAACACTTACGTTTGAGGATTAAACATGTTGGACAGCTGGAAGCACTGTGTTGCCAGTGGTTGTACAGAAGCAGCTGCAGCCAGAACTGTTGTAATGGAAAAACACAGTAACAAATCTAAGAACCCACTATGCACAGCTCCAAATTAAATTAATAAGTTCTATCTATTATTTAAAATCTGAACATTCAGCGATAACAACAGTTCTTAACAAAAAACTGCAGGCAGGAAAGCAAAACTCCCAACTAGACACTACCTGTGATAGACAATTTAAATTGATCAATACAGAAAACAGTACAGATCAACTACAGTTGAAGCTGGAAAGTGAAGATGACCCTGTATATGGAGTTGGGCAAATCTTCCATGTGAATATTTACAGGCATCTTCACATGTAGGTGAACTGCCTGGAATGTCACTTTCCTTTCTTCTCACAGAAACCAAGCAGCAGCTGAGGGTGGAGTGGCCCCACCTGACCTCACAGGCACTGACAGACACCTTGGAGAATTCTCAGTATGGATTTTAAGCACAATGAATTATCCTTCTAAAAATGGTATCTGCACTTTTGTCCCTTGGAAATGTGTAACCCAGGAAATATTTGACAAGTACAATTCTAATTTTTTTCACTGGAGACCAGATATGCACTCTCTCCCAGGAGCTATGAAGTTGTGACTTGGCCTTTAGTGTTGCTCATCATCCCAGCACATCTCATGAGAGAGAAGCATTGTCCTTCAGGCTGCAAAGCTTCTGGTAATTCAGCTGCAGTCACAGCCACCTTCTCTCTACACATGCAGCCATGAGGGGCTCTGCATCAGAGTGAGATGATCCAGGGGCAGTAACCCTAAACTTCTGGTTCTCCTATGGCCCCTTAGTCCCTACCTCTTAAGGCAGGATAAAAACCCCCAATCCCAACCACACCTACACCCACAAAAATCCCACACACCCTCACATTTCCTAGGACTAAAATATGGCTGGGGAATGTTACTGGCAGTGAAGAAATGCTACCAAGAAAAGGCAAAGTGTTGAACAGACACTGTTATTTAGCCCAATAATATGACTTAAGAGGGGACCTTATGCATGTCTACAAATATCTGCAGGGTGGGTGTCAAGAACAGGCCAATCTGTGTTCAGTGGTGCCTGTGACAGGACGAGGGGAAACGGCACCAAGTGACAGCACAGGAAGTTCCACCTCAACATGAGAAGAAACTTCTTTCCTGTGAGGGTAACAGAGCCCTGGGACAGGCTGCCCAGAGAGGTTGTGGAGGCTCCTTCAGTTGGGCTGGATGATCTTCACAGAGGATCCCAGATTCCACTGGGATTCTATGAATAATCCATGCACAGTGTGCCTCCCACAGACACAAAAGGCATCCATTGCCTAGGCTGTTGGCAAACTCTCCACGAGATGCATTTCACTTATTGACATCTTAAAACCAACTGGTGACAAGTTATAACAAATGTTGTTTACCTTCATTCTGCTGAGACAGTCTTGTTTGCAAATCTAAAGAAAAACAGACACAAGGTAATTAGCACACTTGCTAGTACTGTTGGTGTTACCTGCCAGCCAGGTTGTTTAGCTTGTTTTGTTGTGGCTAAAAGCTTGTTCAAATACCTCACCCTACTCTCACTGTTGCTTTCTAGTTGTGAGGAGTTTCACTAATTTCAGCTTCTCAGCTGGAACAGATAATCCCTGACCACAAAGGTTAAGGGTATTCCAAAGAGCAAGTACCTTAAAGGGAAAGACATGAGCATGGCCTTTAATTCAGTGTATCATTTCCACCTTTCTTTGCTGAACTAGGACTCTTTGTTAGATGTATTTTTTTCCATGAGAAAATAATTACAGCAATTCTTAGAGGCATTAGAAGTTTGGCATCTTTGCTAACAGACAGCTTTTAAGACACATCCAGATGTGACATCATGAAAACAGTTTTCAAATTCAGTTTCCAGTAGAGTAAGGCAACAGTTCCCCTGTTATCTTTTCATACAAATGGCACAATTACAAGTTACTTTGGTATTTGTAAAATTAAAAACATTTTAAAGTGTTCAGAACCATGTAATTTGACAAGAAAACACTACCTACTTGTATAACAAACCTGTCCTAATTTGAAATAACAGGAACAGAAAAATAAGACTTTCTAACCATTTCTGAATACATCTCCAGTGCTTCACATCTTTAAACCAACAAAGTCAGAACACAAGAACTGCACACATAAACATCCTCAATTCTGTTCCAATTTAATTCACACAAAGAGTTAGCAGACTAAAGCTAATGACCATGTGAATTCACTTGTTTAGAAAGCAGTGAAGTGATGGACCTCAAGTGAGTTTCCAGGCTTACTTTTTGATACCTGGTATCTTAAGGTATTTTCATTTTTCCTTTCTAATAATTCCTCCTCCACAACACCTGGGGGACCAACAGGAGTTACTTTATTTTTTTTTTCTTTTAAGTATTAGGCAGTGAGAGCCCTGAAGGCAAGTCTTCCTCACATGCCCTCCCAAGTGACTTCCATGGAAGCACACACACTGGGAGCCATGTTGAAAAATAAGAGATGGAAGGAGCAAGCTCTGAAGGCCGAGCTGAGAATCAGCTACATTTAGCATGTTTTCCACCTGGATCTTAACTCAAAGAAAACCTCAACTCCACAGAATGAGAAATACCAGAAGGGGAAGGACTGTCTTGGTCTGTCTTCTCTGCAGAAACTGCATGGATTTGGCCAATTCTGTAACTAATTAACTAGTTAACTACTACTTATTTTTAATAAATGTTGTGACTTTAAAAAATAAACCCCAAATCTCCTAAATCACTCTAGTTACATGAGGACAGACTGCAATTCTGACAGACTGCACACAGACAGCAGGTACACCTGCTCTCACCCCATGCTGGTCACCCTGAGGCTCTGCAGCTGAACACTCCCAGCCACCTGCACCCAGCAGGGCAGGGCTGCACAGGTCAGCTCTTCATCTTCCTTCTAGGGCCAAGAGTCATATCTGTTCTAAAAACAGCAAGATCAACTAACAGCACCTTGTGGCAACAAGTTTCACAGGTTAACTACCTACCATCTCTGAAACACAACCCCTGTCCACCACATCTTCTTGCTGCTCATGCATGAGGAATGATTCACCTCTCACTGCTAAATTCACACTGGATTTCAAAACTCATTGTCTCTCTTGTCAACTTTTATTCTTCCCTGCATGCAGTTTTAATGGCATGTGGAAGCTAGAATTACTACATCTGTCAAGTTAAGATCACAATAACTTCTGTAGTATGTCCTGTATGTATGGCCCTAAGAGCAGCATGGCTGAGATGTACATGCTCAGTGCAGAGAAAGCAGAAATACAGAAATAGCTACCAAAACATTTGTGTGCTTAACCAAAATGAAGAAACATTTCTTTTCAAGCACAGTTAAGTTTTAAATAAACAAAAACCTGCCAAATATTCCTCAGCTTTCTAAGTAATTACATGCAACAGAACAGCAGCTCCAGTAGAGGTCCTGGATGGTGACACCTCTTCCTCCCCCACTGCAGCACTGCACCTCCATCTTTTTCAACAGATAGCTCCTTCTCAAAAGGAAGGAATGTTTTGTCCTACAAAGCATTAGAAGGATGTTTTATAGCCTCATGGTAATTTTCAGTTTCAGATTTTCAGACAGAATTTACTGGAGAACAGTAAGGTCACAGCTACAACTGTTAAGCAGCAATTCTTTTTCCTGCTGGAATTTTCTCCATGGGAAGCACATTCAAGTTCTCAGGTCTCCCACAGAACTAACTCTTTAGCTTTTCTTTTTCAGTCTGATCCAAACCACCCTGAACATGGGTGACCATGACCGTTCACAGAAGATGATGTCACACCTCAGATGCTCAGGTGTGCTCCCTCTCAGAACACAGCTGTCCTTCCCAAACTGCACCCCACTAACACTCCATATCCATCCACTGACCACAACTGGAGCATTTTGGGATCCTCCTTGGCCATCTCCCACTGTCAAGCTCCCAGGCTACATACCTTGAATGTTTCTATCCTGAGGTGAGCAATGCACAACACCCCAGGAATCCCTATTGACAGCACCTCTGTTATTTACTCTCCTCACTCCTACTCCTGTTGATCACTGTTATTAATGTAAATATTAGAGATCAGTCCAACATCTGAACTTGGGCTTCACCAACAGCCTCCAATCTGCCCAGTTTGCCACTGAAAAAAACCCTCTTTGAGCCAGCTCCTTCACACATCTTGTACCTCCTGTACTCCAAACGACAAGTCAGAAGCTCAGAGAGAAGAGTTCTACAGCTGCTCTAAGCAAGTCAGAGCAACCCAAGATGGTTAGCCTTTACATGCAGTTTCTCCAAAGGATGCTACACTAATAAAATTCTCCAGTTTCCCACCTTCAGTCTGACTTTAGGAGGACAGAATTCAAGTTGGATTAACCAGACTGGAAATGAGCTAGATTATGAGGTTCTTCCTTGCTTTTAAGTGTTAGTAATTCAGAATTAGATATTCAAGCTATATATTGTATCACAGACTTCAAATATTTCTTGACAAGAGTAGATACCAGACCTTGTATTTCATGTACCTATTCCCCCCTTAATTTAATGGGTGTTTCCTTACAACTCTGAATTCAGAACATTCTGCTCTTGCTTTTAGCTTTGTTTCTATCTTGTGAATAATTTTGATTTTAATCCATATTCCTAGCCTACCTTCCTCAAATTCCAAACCAGTGCTCCCACTACAAGCTGAGGCATTCTGAAACATTTTTCATTCAACCTCAGCCCTGCTTCCTTTTTGCCCTCAAGAGTTGGTAAATCTTCACCTATGCATTCAAGTCTAACTCAGTCTGAGTGTTAGCAGGTCATTCTCAACTTAGCTATTTCCCAACTAAAAACATTCTTTCATTATCAGTCCTTTCTCCTACTCTTCACAGGCTCTGTGCTTATTCCTTACTTCTTTTGAGGTAGTTAATCACCCAATTTGGTGTGGAGCTCATTTCTAGCAGGGCTCTTTTTTCCTTCTGTGGAACACAGATCTAATATGGAACATGGAACTGAAGAACCTTTCAACATCCTGCCTGTTCAAACACCCAAGTTGCTTGCACCAGGTTTTATTGCCTTGTTTCTTCAACCACCATTTTTGACATCAGAAGCCTCAGTTACAGACCTGTTTGGTTTATCCTTCCATTTAAACTTGAGCAACTCATGATCCCTCAAGTCAACGGTCATTTCTATTCTCATCCATAACATCTTCATTACTTACCAAATTGAGTTTAAAATAGCATCCCCTCTTCATGAGTCAGTGAGTGTTTGATGAAGAAATTTGTCGGATATCACATCCAGGAATATCTGGGCCCCACCATTATTACTAGCAATTCTTCTCCAATCTGTATCAGGGAAGTTAAAGTCTCCCATAATGACATAATTCCTGGTAGTAATTTTCTCTATTAAGAGTAAAGAGATCTTTAATCCATAACCAAATCTCACTTTGGGGATAGCTCATGACTCTATGGTAGTAACAAGCTTAATCTTTTTCCAAAGTTACAACGTTGCACACATCTGCATTGTTCCTTTTGTACCATACAAGTGGAATAAGCAATACTCCTCCTATCATTTTTATTTCTACCTTTACTAAACATGCACATTCTTCAACAACCTCTATTCAGGCTCATCACTTATTGCTCCACAGCCATGTTGTCTCATAATGATCCCATGCTGTGTGTCAGACATGTCTGGACATGTTCCTGACTTGGGGAGTTTGGATTTGTTTGGCTTGTTTAAAATATGAGGGTGGGGAAAGGATCAGTGATTTTTACAAGTATTTTAATTTCTCACTGAATACACCTGTTGCCAAGCAAGCCTGTCACACCACAATCACCTGCATTAAAGGTGATCTAATGTTAAGTCTTGTTTATCTTTCCTTCCCTTTCTGGACTGGATATGCTTTCTCCTTGCCACTCTGCCTTTTTCATCTTTTTCTCCTCAAATAAAGAGAATCCGTCTTATTCCTCAACCCATATTTTTCTTTTCCTAGCCAGTTCCTTTTCCTTTCAAGGGTCTACCTACAGAAAGACCCTATCATATTCTTCTAGCAATGGTTTCATGCATGTGCTCTTCTCAAAACTGCACCTGAACTTCAGGAACATCATTCAGGTGTATCTTAAATCTGAATCACTTCTGTCACAAACTGCTGGAAGACAAACACAACAATGTCACCCATGTTTTCTTGATTTCCTGATACTTCACACCTTCCAGCATCTATTTATTTGTGACATTCAAGTCCTTCCTACTGCTATGACCGTTTCATGCCCTTTGTTCTTGTATTAATAAAAAATAAGAAGAAATTCCACTCTGTAAATTCTTAAATCTCTTGTGGGAGGTTCCTCATTGCTCTAGTCCTGAAGCCCTTTCTAACAGCTGGTTGTTTAGGCCAGCTATGAACTAGAAGCAGCAGTAACACCCTCATTCCCTCTCAACAAAATAAAGTCTGATTAACACTTCCAACACCCCCACTCACAGCACACGCACACTATAGCCAATTGATTCCAATCAACACACAAATTCCCTGCTGCACAGTTCCCTTCCTCACCAGGACATGCACTGCACAAACCCAACACTGCTGCACACTCAGCTGCCGTGTTCCCCATCAGCTCCTGACAACCCTCCTGTCCCTGGCACAGCTCTGTTCAGAGGGCTCAATCCCATTCAAATTATGAGCCTGCCACTTCTAACAGTCAACATTTACAGTAGAACATACAAGTCCCCATTAGCACAAGGAATAGCAAAGATAGAGATGAAAGCTCTGGATGAATTAACTACAACAGACTTGCCAAAACTCAAGCAGTGAATGATGCCCATCAAAGCTGTCAGGTACTGTCACTGTTTATTTGCTCATGGATTTGCAACGTTTTACAGCTTGTAAAACATGCTGCAATACCTACGTTCTCATTTCAAGAGACCACAATATGTAGATAAGTACCTCTCGTCTCAAAATCATAAAAGTATTTTTGAAAAATAAAGAGGGCATCATGTCTTACCTGCCACAGCTCCAAATGCCAAAGAGCCACTCATCTGCAGAGCCTGCTGTGCCGCCGGGGGGATCTGCAGACCCGTTCCTGGAAGGGAACACAGACCTGCCCTGTAGCCAGCACGTCTCACCCGGGCAGGGAGGCAGCAACACCCCTGACAGACACCTCAACTCTTGTCAAAAGTTTAAAAGATACCATTCTGTGTTCTCCTGGTTTGAGCCAGGATGAAGCCAATTTTCTTTTTCCTGATTTGTTTTCCTTCAGTGAACTCCCTTCCAAGCAGCCACTTGTTGAAAGCAGCAGCAAGTTTTCCAGCTAGTGGAAACATCTGGATGTTTATAGTTACTACTGAGAGACCAAGGCCACTTTGCACTGGTTTTTGAACCTGCTGCTTTGGTCACTCAAGGAACAGAAGAGCTGGATCTACAGCCCTCCAATAGGGAGGAGCAGTCTGGACAGGTGGCACAATGGGCCAAGCAGAGCATTCCAGAGCACCACATCACACTAGGTATAAACTCAGGGACCAGAGAACTCAAGCTTATTTCCTTACCTTCTTCTGTCCATGGTCAGTGTCCAGAGAGGACTCCCATCTATCTTCTCCTTTGATCCCTCAGCCCATGTGCTCCTGACCTCAGTATCTCTCCCCTCAGCCTGTCTGCTCTGCCCCAAACTCCAGAGGTGCTCTGGGACCTTTTCGGGACTGTCCTGGCTCGGGAGAGCGCACTGGGAGTTGCTGGGGGTGGGAGGGCAATGGGGTTTGTGCACATTCCTGATTTTGTATTTATTTGTACATGTTTTCCTTCATCACTGCTCTCTCATTAGAGCTGTTTAATTGAGTTTCAAACTGGAATCCTCTCTCCTTACTCTCTCTCCTTTCCCTATTGGGGTGGGGGGGATAGTGAGCATTGTTGTCATTCGCTTAACTGCTGATCCTGTGTCAATCTGTGCCACGAACATGCAGCCACACATTCCATGGGGTGCATGAATCCAAACACTGTGTTTTCACGTTTCCTATCAATCCTCAGACCTACCTTCTGCAAGTCTTGCCATCAACTGAAGGCGACCGGTTGTTCCCAAGTCAATTCCAGTCCGTTCCAACTCATCACTGTCCAAAAAGGAACTGGCACTGGAAGCATCAGTGCGCTCAGTTACATGTCCAACTTTCATGGGTCTGCCAGCCAGCTCAAACCCATTGAGTTGTTCCAAGGCCTTTTTGGCACACTCAGAGTCTGAGAACTGTAGACAGGAAAAATAAACATTCAGTAAGACTCAGCAACACTTCTACTGCATGGAATATCCAGAGTTATGTAAACATGAGAAACACTGTATTTAAGGTAACAATAGCTGCAAGCTAATTTAAATGCCCTCTGTATTTTACACTTAAACCAAACACACACAATTTACTTTCTTAAATTTAGTTAAGAATATATTTAAACATATATTATCGTTGAAGCTAGAACATCTAGACATGGCAACGAACAGAAGAACTCATGGCTGCAGCTCCCTTTCAACATTTCCTCAGGATGAGTCACTTCCTTGTGACCTTGTAACTGCCATGCATCTACTGGCTGTTCCTAACAGATGTTCTGCTTTATGCTGTGTAACATCAAATTAAAAATACACTTATTTGACCAATGTTAGAACCATAAAGTGTTAGCTATAGAGGTAGTCTGGTTTAGTCTGTCTTCAAGTGTTGGAGGTTCCAGCCAAGACTTTCCCCCCCCGCCTTGACAAATTGCCAGGTCAGTCAAGAAACCCAAGTTCACAAAATTATGTATCTGAGGGTAATGAGGAAAATGAAAGGTTTAGCCTCTAAAATTTTCTTTCCCCTAAGAAGCTCAAATTCAGTAATTTTTGCAGCACTGTGAAAATGTCAGTCTTTGCTAGTACTTTTTCCTGCTG